CACTGTTTGGTGTTTAGATCAACTATGAACCAACATCTCTTCTCCAACTCCTTTTCTCGAAAATGACGGGCTTGCGTCAATGTTTCGAAAACGTTATTTGGGTCGATCCTCTCTTCAAGGAAACGACCACAACGACGCATCAGAGACAAAACCAAATACTTTTTAGCCAAGTACATAACACCGAGCACAGAATTAGCAGTGAGGTGTAATTCGTCGTAGTAGATGAATCGAAGAAACTCAGTAAGACATTCAGAGTCGCAGTCAGGAAGTTCGATTTGTTTTCCCTGTTCAGCTACGCCGCCATAAAACATAGCATAAAAGACGGGACTGCTAATAGCTAAAACGTATTTGTGAGCTGGCAAAGCGACTTTCATTCCCTGTTCTTTGGTCGAATCCTGAACTAGAAAGCTCACATCACTTATCATGGGATTAAGAAACATGTACTTATTTCGCTCTCGCACCGTTTCCCTCGTGGACTGCCAATCATCCGTTACTATCTCAGCCGAAAGATCCATGGTAATCCTGAAATTACTTGATAGTTGAGCGGCTACCGCTTATAGAATGTTTTGAAAAGAACAAAGTTACGTGGCATATGCTGCTGCGAACAAATGGCAAGGAAAGAGGGAGCCATGGGGCAGAGGGCAGGCCACACATTTTGTCACGCATTCCAGTTCCGGAAATAACAAAAGTAATCCAGACATTTCAGTCTTTTTTTAATACACCATATTTTATCACTTTTTCAAACACTTTTCCTTTCTTTCTTTCTACAGACAATCACCCACTTACCGAATTTCAATTTTTTTTTTTTAATTTAGGAAGGTAAGTAATTAAACGGTTATCAATTAAAGGGGGATCAGTCACGGATCCGTGAACGAAATGTCACGGACATGTCCGTCACAAATTTCCTGTGTTTTTTGGTTGGTACTTAACTTTTTACACCTTGAAACATTTTTTTTTTACCATTTAAAATATCCAAGAGACAAACAAAAAGCTTGTAACATTTTTCATGACTCCTAAGTTCAAACCATTTGCTATTGCATTATTTTTTTTTCTTTTCATTTGCACTGATTTTAACTATACAGTAGCTTAAGTAATTGAACAGCAGTGGAGACAGTTTTTAATAGAAACAAGAGGTTCTGTAGTCGCCGTGTGTTCACGCAATGTTGATAGAGTTGCTGGGGCTATACAGGGCATGGGGCGGGAGGGTTATAAAAAGTGTCCATCTATGAGGCGGAGCTGTCGGATTTAAAACGGTAGCGGTTCTACGGAGATATAGAATTAAACTGCATACTGTTAGAACAATCACTGCTGTCGGATAAAAAAAAACAGTGGGGGGTTCTACGTTTTAATAACAACTGTGGAAAAAAGAACATGGTCATTTAACAATTGAGAAAAATGTGGTATATTAATTTATAACCCTTTTTTTATTTCAGATATAGAATAACACTGCATACTGTTAGAACAATCACTGAACTCTGACCTCAAATATAATAATTTTTTAAAAAAAATAGAATACCAAAAATGGCATCAAAATAATATTATTAATTTCAGTGTGTACATTCTCCACACTGTTTGTCTATTTGCCTATATTAATTTTACCACTCTTACTAGGAATATCCTTTAGAAAGGATAAACAGATAATTTTCTGAGAGCTGGTAACAAATGGAATTGAAAAAATATAACTTCTTTTCAGAATACAGTATTGGTATGCAAATATTTTTGGGTACAAATAATGTTGTGAAATATAGAAATGCAATTGGACTCACTGGCAAACTTTATTGCAGCATTGAACAAGCTAGACTATTCATATTTAGCAATAATAATAATTATCATTTATTTATCATTAAAATAATACACTTAAGATGCAAATTAAGGACATATCATTCATCACTCCCAATAATATTATTGTTGTGTATATTACAAGAATAACCCTCAATTGTTTACCTTAATTAGCTCTTTAATGCTCTTACAAAAATATTGTTATCCCTGATTTAGGGATAGAAAATCTGCTTTCACATTGTTTCCTTTGATTATCAAAGACAGTGTCTGTAGAACAGAAGAAACTAGCTGTAGGGGTTAGTTTTGGGTATACAGCCATTAACAGAGAGCCAAGAGTAATTTGAATTCAGCTATATTGTGAGGGCTGTCTCAGGAAGTTTACCCTATGAGAAGAGCTTCAATCTTCCTAGATAAGTTGGGAATTATCTAAGTAGGAAGGTCAAAGCTGAGCCTCTGATATTAATTCATGCATAAATAATTTATAAAACTTGTATGAAGATCAAATCCAATCAACTCCTCCAAACTGAAAAAGCAGGATTATTTGTTCTCGAAGTGTTTAATGCTGAAGTCTCACTAGCAGTCAACACATCACCACTGTTAAGAGCCAGCTGTTGCTGAAAAAAAGGATCAAAAAACCAATAATCAACATTTTTCTCTTCTTGTAATTCTGACTTGTGCATGAAAGCAAAATTAAAAAGCAAACAAAACTTGGGAGTTGATAACACTCTCCAGAAAAGTTTTGTTTGCAGCTTTTTCCACCTGCAAGTGCACTTATGTATGACTTGACGCTAATTCTTTTCACATACTACACTACTCGTATGAGCCGAGCAGCGCTCTTGCAGCGACTGCCTGACTTCACTTTTTTGGTTGCACAGTGCTTATGCGCCCATTCTGCAGCATTCATGAATCCATCGAGTATCAGAAGCCAGAGATTAAAGTGTGCTGAAAAATGGTTACAGTTTTCAAATATTCTAAAACAGTGTTAAAGCAGTGCTAAATGTCGCTGCTTAATTAATGTTGCCACTTTACTCTCGCTTACACCCACTATCACAAAACTATTCTGTACTGCATAAGCCATTCAGGAAGGTTGCAGATTACATAAAAGTGAATGTAGTTTTGGCACGATATGTTGACAGTAAGTTAATTAAAACTTCCCATTGCTCATACAATGTGTAGGAGACAATCAACAACATAGAGAAAAATATGTTAAAACTCTTCTGCCATCACTTACTGGCAAAGTAACTATAAGTATGTATACTACTCCCTCATGAAATCTGTCTAAGGCCTAAGGGAGGTTAAATAATAATTTAAGTTTTTGTGTTTTAATTATTATTATAATCATTATTATTATTATTAATATTATTATTATTATTATTATTATTATTATTATTTATTTATTTATTTCAAACATAATACCAGACAGTATACCTGATAGCTGTGTTGTGTCTGGCTACCGTACAGTGACTGTGTTTTAAACACATAGGCTGAACCAGGTCGGGAGAAGTATGCTTTCTCTGAACTTGGGACTTTGTTATCTTTTACTTCAACCTAAAATCAAATATAGGGCCAGTAACCAACTTGAGCCACATTTGACAGATATATTATATTTCACTGGCAAGTAAGCAATTTACACAGTAAGACACTAACATTTTATCATTTCTTAGTCTTAATAAATTGTGAAAGCCAGTCCTGTAAAACAAAAGTCTGTCCTTAACCTGTAAGTTCAAAGGCAGCCCACTTAATTTGACATTGAGGTTAAAATGGCTTCAGTTCAACCTACTTGTGGCTTTGGAGATTGAACTGAGGTTTATACCACAAAAACAACATTAATTGATTCAACTAAACCTCATTTAAAATATCTTGAAAAGGCATTATTAGGTGATGGTGGCTGGTTATACACTTATTAAACACAATAAAAAGGAAAAACACTAATACTATCTATGGCAGGGCTAAAATAATTGGGCACGACACTTCACCTGTCAAAGTACACATTGCCTAATCTCCCTCGTAGCCTTAGGATTTTTAGTTTTTTAGTGTCAGCACCCAATGTTCATCACCACAAACACCTGTACAAACAGCTGATTCTGGGGAGAAGAATAAATTGCATGATGACCCTAAAAATGGCTGCGAAGGAGAAAGGTCACCATGATTCAAATAATATGAACAGGAGGCTTGACCCACAGAATGTAACATGTATCCACTGTGTGCACTATCAGAAACACCTTTTGAGCAACATTTATTAGGAAATTACCTTCTTCACAATGTCCATTCTGATGAGGTCAGCTTTAGATGTTCTTCTGCACCCAGCAGCTGTAAATTGGAACAAAATAATATTGTTTATTATATAAAATCATTAAGAAAGTTAAACTTGGACAAAAATTTCTCAGCTGATAGCTAGAAATGGTTGATGGAAAAATGCAAGACTTGTGAAACAGACATTTGCTATAAAATCCAGACATGGTCAGCAAAAAGATTAAGGATTGCAGATGGAAAGAAAGACAAAACCAAAACATTTCCAAAATTTCTAGAATGGAAACAGAAAAAGAAACAAAATTTTCTGTATTAAGTACTTCTTGCCAAGACTTATAATTACGTTTCCTGCTACAAGTATACTTAATCGCTGACTTAGTAACTCAGGTTAGCTTAATTGACCTTTCCTGCATTCCTAAGACAAGAGCACAAGTGATTTGTGTACATTATCTACTGAGGCTTCTACCTCGCTCCTTTTGTTGGTGATCGCTGAAGTAAAATGGGGAAATTAATAACTATTATTAGCTCCATTGATAGGGCAGACTTCAGAGCAATAAGCCCAAGTTTGATTCCTGGCCACAACCTTAATATGATCTTAAAACAACTGAAGGGAATGAGCTGCCTTTGCTGTGACATCTGCAAATGGTTGGGCATTAAACTGGTCTTCATGTGGCCTCATCTCACAACATTTCACTGATTTGACTCCTGAAGAATGTAAAAGAACCACTACAATGGACATGACAATCCTTGCTGCTGATCATCACGACTGTCTTAAACTTTTCTAGTCATTCCCACTCATCCTCACTGGGCAAGTCCAAAGAGATTAAAAAAATTAATAATAATAATGCTAGTAGTAATAAAAGGTTCAAGGTGCGGGCGACAATGATCGAAGATCAAAACGCTTTTGCTCCAACACTGTGCTTTGCCCAAGTTTCTTGTGATAGATGGTTAAAACGCATGTAATCAGATTACAAGTGATAGAAGGTCCAAACTCGAGTGATCAAATCACGTTCCTTGCATTCCATATTCATTCTTAGTGGAAGTCCAAATGAATGCTGGCTACATACATGTGATGCATGCGTGATATCAGCCCGGAGATTAGGACTGCGAGCTCCTCTTGTCGCCCACAATTAAACCCAGATAACAAACCTGCAAAAAATGGCCAAATTGTATCAAGTGCTGAGGCAAAATCCACAGCTGATCTGAAAGTGAAATATTATTGATTCAATTTTACTGACACATTATGCATCTTGGTTACACTTTCTACATCTAGTATATTATTATTAATGGGAGAAACAAGAATACTTTCCCTCAGAGTCAGTTGATTTCAGTCTCATTATTCATTTGTTGTTGTTGTTGTTGTTGTTTACAAGAAAACTATTACACACACATTTATTTTCCTGTGAATGAAAATTCCGAAAGCACCTGTAAGTACCCAAGTGACGTAGTCTGTCCTTTCGGGGTGGCCTCAGGGCTGGCAAATGCTGACCTCCAGGCAATGCAAAAATTTGCTAATGACCCCACTCAGTAGAATCAAAAGATGGGCAAATGCCCCATGGTAGTCTTGGAATTGACTGATGCATAATGACACTAGGTCAGAATAGAAGTGCTATCAATAAAACTTCTCTCAGCTCTGATGGAAATGTTATTTAATGAAATATATAATGGTATAAGAATAATCAAATACATAAAAAAGGCCTAAAATCAGAAATGCAGGTGAATATTTTAATGTTGCTCAACACAATTCTGGCTACTCAACTTTATTCACTTAAACTTCCAACTCAGCTTTTAACAATAATTTTATTTACCTGCCAAGATTATCTCTGATTGTTAGGTCTGGGTTGTGATTCATTAGTGTCATAACAACTTTACCATGTCCTTGAAATGTAGCACAGTGAAGAGCTGTCCAATTTGTACCTCTGTTAGATGCATTGACATCAGCTCTGTTAATATTAAGAAAAAACTTTTACTGTAAAACTCAGAAAACTGGGTGAGAATACCAGAAATATTTCAGAAATGTTATTGTGTTGCAAGGAAAAGCCAGTCAGGTAAACAGTAAACCTTTTAGTTTTCAAGTTTACTTGTAGGTTCTGAACTTTATTGTGATTGGTCATGATCAGAAGACAATATTAATTATTACAGTAAGCTGTAAAAACAAACTCAAAGTGTTCAGGGCTATTTAACTTGCAGTGAAAAACCTGAATCAACCTCAGCTGTAGATGCTTATCTTGTAATTAAGAAATAGTGCCGTAGCATAGGGAGGGGCCTGGGGGGCCTGGGACCCCCAATACTTTTGACACGCAAGTGGTTAAATATTTATCATACAATACTGACATATCCGATCCATGATTTTAGCCAGTTAAAAATTGCTGGAAATTAATGCTCTCGGAAGGCTGAAAATGCTATTTCAGAGACCCTATATTTCAAAATTTTCTGGGAGAGCATGTCCCCGGACCCCTCTAGCAGCTCGCGCCTTCTGCGCTCGTGATTGCCCCCACCCCCAATAAATCTAACCAAATCAGTGGGCCGGGTATTCTGCAATCTAGCCCATTAACTTTACAAAATAATGCTTACCCCCGGTCAAGTAATAACTGAACAATGTCGTTGTACGCCCAGAAAGCTGCAATACATAAGGGTCTAAAACCCTCTGGGGAATACGAATTCACATCAACACCGCGGTCTATAATGGTTTTCACCGCCTGAAAAAAAAAAACAGGCCGCCTTTTAAGTATAGCTTTCACAATACTTGTATAGTTCAAGTTCACATCTACGTATAATAAAAAAGTAGCTTTCAGAAAACAGACCTTCAAATCACCTGTAGCTGCTGCAGCAGTCAACTCGCCTCCGTCCGCCATCTTGGTTCCTTCTGTTTTTTGAGAAACCGCTGATAAAGTTGATCGGTAGATGCCTCATGTATGGAAAAACTAAATGTACCGTATTTTCCAACGTAAACTCCGCTGACCGGCTCAGCCGCGTGACTTCGCGAGAAAAAGTGCTGCAGAAATGGCTTCCGCTCTGGAACAACTCAAAAAATACACCACAGTCGTCGCTGATTCGGGCGACTTTGACAGTAAGAGAGAGATCATTTGTAAAGGAGTTTCTTTTCTGATTGCTGTTTGGTAAATCACTGTTATGATATACTTTTGTTCATTTTTACTTCTCAGCCATTTCGCAGTACAAACCCACCGATGCGACGACCAACCCATCGCTCCTTCTTGCTGCTTCCAAAATGCCTCAGTATCGAAATTTATTCGACAAAGCGGTTCAGTACGGAAAGGCCAATGGAAGGTAAAGAATACTCGAACCATTTCTCTTAGTTAGTTTACGTTTTGACGTTTTTGCATGTCCAAGGATTCAAGGTCACGCTTCATGTGTTTAAGGTTATGAGTTTTCGTGAAATTAAAGAATAAGTTTATTTAAATCTTGGGTGTTGAATATGCAATTGATTAGCAGGATAATTGCAAAATAGTAATTTTTTGTGTAGAACAAAAACTTACGGATTGTCGAGGTGCCAATATTTGAGGGAAGAGGTGTTTTACGTAATACGACGTCATTGCAAGCACTGAACTTATAGTTAGCTGGCCATGCACCGTGACGCACGCAACTTTCGTACAATTTTACTAATACGCCTATTGTACAAATACAACAAACCCCATCCAAGGGCTTTTAGAGTTGATGATCTTTTACAGAAATAATATTACTGATGTTGGATGTTTGAAATAATACAAAAAAATAACATGGAAATAATGTGATATCGCCTGAAGCAAATAATTTTGAAACAAACAACTTGATTATATATCACATCATTACTACGTTCATTTTAATATCCAAATCGAAGAAATGCTCGGCAGCTCTATCTGAGCATTTTAAATGGGCCAGTGCCTGTCGTTTTGAAAGTCCCAGCGATTACTGTGGCCTCAAAAGCTATCAATGTCAAGATTTCCCAGATGGTAAAACTATCAGTTAACAAAACAAAATGGTCTAGTTTGTTATCTACACACGGCACTTTTACTCCATAGATTCTGATTTAAATATTTGGCTTCAGGCCTGAAAAATTGCCATGACTTTAACCCTTGGCTTGCCTACCAAGGATGTTTGTCTATGTCCTGTGTGAGGTCACTCTGCAATCAAGGATGTGTATATACGTCCTCAGACAGACAATATTAATGAAATTAACAAAAGCCTAGTCGTTCGAGTTGTCTTAAGTAAATAAACTCCTGTCGTTGAGAAATGGCTGCTGGTAGCTGGGTGTATTTGGCTCTAGTAGGCAAGGGGTTAAAGGAATGTGCCCCTGGTCATAACCACAACATTACTAGATCAGGACCAGGAGTCAAGGAATTTTGATATTTGTATTTTAAAAAATCTTAATGTTATGGGGAGTGCAACAATTAGTTTCAGTTTCAGTGTCATACTCAGCCAGCCCACCACACCTTTTATTATTGCAACTTACGGTTTTAAAAGTTATAATAATGATATAATATAGCACAAAAAGGCCTGTCATAACTTTCTGCTTCCTTTATTTTCCTACCAGTTTCTTTCATCCATTTCGCTCTCTCCTTTCTTTGCTTGAGACCTGCCTGATTGTACAATTAAATTATTAGAGCTAAATGCTGCTAAAACAGCCACCTTTAATACTGCAATGTGGTATCAACAAAACAGATTGTTGTGTTCAGTGAGTGTTACATAAAGTGCTGTCAGGGATGTGCTCTAGCAGAGCCCGGTGGCTCCTTGCACCTAACTCTTGCTCTTGGGCAACTATAAAATCTTACTTTTTTCGTACAAATTTTATGCTGGGCACCCTGGATTTTACAGGCTCAGAGCACTGGGCTCCCTTCAGTTTTCCTTAGAGCACAGCCTTGATTCTCTATGGAGAACTTGTATAAAGTATTTAATTGTAAATGATCATGATATCCTTGTAAGAGGGAGCTGTCATCCAATTGTTTATGTAATTTTAAGATGAGCTTTTCTTCTTTTCTGATTTTACTGGCTTTGAGATACTTAAAGGGATTTCTTTACTTAACAGTCTTTACTGGGTCTTCAACCTAATCCTTTTTTGTATATCATTTTATTGAATTTCTTATTTTTGGTTTTTAAATTTGAAGCACCCTTGAAGAGCAGCTGACTGAAGCAATGGACAAAATGGTAAATACAGCATTTTTCTAATTAAAAACACGACTATAGCATTAGTAAAAAAACAACAACAACAAGCTTTAATAATTTATAGCAGAACCTTAAGAAAGTATGGCTGATGACGTAATTAAGTCCTTAATTCATTTATCTGTTACAAATGAGTAATAAAATTAATGGAAACGTATCCCTTGTTAGATAATGCTATATTGTTATTCCAGCTGGTATATTTTGGTGTAGTTCAATAATATTATGGAATAAAGATGATTGGTATTAGTTTAAAATTCAAATTAGCTCTTTTATTTGTTTTAGTTTGTACTTTTTGGAGTTGAAATACTAAAGATTGTCCCAGGAAGAGTTTCAACAGAGGTTGATGCTAGGTAAGCCATAAAAAGCCATGCCTTGAATGTGCAATGCTTTCATTGTTTACGAGCTGTTGAACTGTCTTCAAAACAAAAAAGGAAGAACCAGCAAAACCATTGCAAAGTTCAAGGTTGAATAGTAGTGTGCTTACACTCTCTGGAAATGGCTTTAATGCTTTAAGCCCCAGATGAACCCAAATACAAAAAAATTAATTCTAAACTTTCGACTGATTTCCCTTAAAGAATTAGTCGAGAGACGTTAGTAAAAGATCAAAGCATTTTCTCTTTAGTAACCATTTTATTAATTCATGTAGCCTGTTCTCTTGATTATGCCTTGATGTTGGTAGGAGAAACATGATTTTGATCACTTTTTGATGGTTAAAAGACCATAACACCTTTGCATGCCCAATTAGCACCTTCACTTATGGAACACAGCCTGAGAAAATTAATTCAGCAGTGAAATACATGTACCTACCGCGCTTTAGTGTAAGAATTCATTTCCACTTGAATTCATGGGAACATTTTATTTAGTTTTTTTTATTTTGGGGGGTAAAGGTTATCCTTTGATGTTGAGGGCTCAATTGAGAAGGCCAAAAAGTTTATCAAGTTGTATGAGGAAGCTGGAATCAGCAAAGACAGAATCTTAATCAAACTGAGCACAACTTGGGAAGGAGTCCAAGCTGCAAAGTAAGACAGTTCTTCATCATCAATTTTTTGGACAATATAATATTACTCAAGGTTGTGAGCACCGAGAGTCATAATCTGCAAACCGTTTTGAATTCTTTTCTTTGTATTTAGTATACCAAAGGGGGCTCATGGTCCCAGGCATTCCTAGTAGAGACTGTAGAAACTGGGGTTAAAAATCGTGATGACTTTCAATGTATGCAAATAAGACTGGTGATGAGCATGCGGTTTATTTTTGGGGATGATTGAAGTGACATGCCTAGTTGAACATGATTTGGCTTTGCCCTATTTTAATAGCAAGAGAAAAAACGACAGTCAAATTGCACATAGCAAAGTAGACATGTACAGGGTCTGGCTTATGTACTACAGCAAAAGCAGTTGTTCCAAAAGATTTACAATAATATAATCTTATCCATTATTGATATCACAATGGGCTGCTCTTTAGTTGGCCTGTGTTGCATCTGGTCATTGCAAAATGGTCAGGGTTCGATTCTCAGTCAAGCCTGAATTTTTTTCAGGTTCTTTTTCAACCTGCTTAGGTTGTTTGAAAAAAAAAACATTTTATTTGAGTGTCAATGTATTTAGCACAAAAGAACTGATAGGGGACACTATTTTTATGTCTCCTACTAGAGACAGGAATGCCATTTTATGTGGTAATCCGAGCCACGTGAAGGTCTAGCCGCTTGCAGTGCAAAAGGAGTACCTTCATTTCTCAGTTATTTTAAGACCCTGAGTATTGGTCCGGCCCCAAGAATCGAACCCGTGACCTCCTGCTCTGCAGTCACAGGCTCTACCGACAGAGCTAACACTGCCATGGTCACTCAACTTCAAAGATCATGTTCTCTTTCATATCTTTATCTGCAGTTCAAAATATGATTCATTTTATATATTTCAATTGATGATTCATTTCATTATTTTAATTCAAATCTTTTCTATCATTTATTAGAGTTCTTGAGGAGGAACTTGGTATTCACTGCAACATGACACTCCTTTTCTCCTTTGCACAGGTAAATAAGAGTTGCATTATCACAGAATTTCCATAAGATTATTGTGCAGTGTACATTCTAGACATTTAGTACAGAATGATATACAGTAAAATGTGGCTAAATGTAATTTAGGCGAGGTTAAACATGAGACGAATTATGCGGTCTCCATTGCTAATCATGTGTGGGCCGGGCTTAGGGCTTTTTCTGGGTCTCAGTGTTTTTATGTACAGCACTCCTTTGGAGGTCAAGTCATTTTGCATGCATTGTCTTTGCTTGTGCTTGCACTAAAGCCTTTTTTGCTCCCAGCCTTTCCCTTCCTCTGGGTAGGTCTTGGTAAGTATCTGAAAACTTTCCACTGCGGTTCTCAGTGATGGTGCCTGGTGGCTGCAGCTCACAAGGTTGTCATGGTTACCTTCATGCTCGCTTGTGGCTCCTTCAGTTTACTCAGGCACCTTCCCCACACCCATCTATTAGCGATGGGTCTAAAATCCGCGACTATGAACCTGGTTTTTAAGAACGTGTTAGCTAAAATTTGCCCGTTAGGCCCCTTCTATACAAGAACCTGTTTAGCCTAAAATTTGAAACAGGTTCCTATTTTCTAAAATCTATATATAAAAAAAATTCTGTACACTTGGGCAAATAAGATAAAGTCAACATTCAGAATCCTCTTTGGAGACGCAGGTTCCTTAACACTCCTACTGCAATAATTTATTGTAATGTCATACACGTTTTAACTAAGGAATTAAACTGAATACCACTAAATAAAGTCTCTTAGCTGCAATTCAGAAAATAAGAACCTGTTTATTATAAGAATGTAAATAGCCTAAATTTGTGTCAATTGCCATCTATGTAAGAACCTGTATGGGTTAACTTGGGAAAATGTAGCTTCTAAGTCACGGGTTTTTACTGTATGGAAAAACCAGCCCTATCATTGTGGGAATTGACATTGACTCAATGTACATGTGGCATGAAAATAAAATGTAAATTTTAAGGCTCCACATACTTCCAAAAGCACATCATTCTCTGACTGAAGATCTGAGACTTTGAAGCAGAAAGTTGAAGACCTTGTAAAGGATAGAAACTCACAAAAACAAGACTCCAAAGCGTGGTACAAGGGCCATCCTTTTATTTACCTTATAATTGCTGAAAGGACCTAGCACTGACCTTGCTAGTGAAAGAAGCAACTCTAATATATACCGTTCCATCAAAATTGAGTGTATTGTAAAAGATTACCAAAATAGACGACGTGGTCTCTCCTTTCCTGCATGTAATTCAGTTCCTCTGCGAGCACTTAGGGAGGGAGGGAGGGAAGGGAGGGTATTGCAATGTGGAAGAGGCAGGGATACTTTTAGTCTTCCTATTGGGGTTTTGGTAGTCAGTTTCAGGACTATAGGATGAATCATCAAGACACATAGAAGTGATGTCAGTAGCATTGGGCTGGTCGGCCAAATGACCCACTGGGCTAGTGTATTGTCATTAAAAGTTCCAAAAGCAAGCTATTTTACTGTATTTTAAGGCAATAGAACTGGTAATATTGACTACATTTGGGGCTATCCCATCAGTGTGCCCCACTTTGGACAAATGGTAACCCTGCTCTTTAGATCACATGACGTGTAGGTGAATTAATCATAGCACTTCGTAAAAACCATGTATTATTAATTGCCCGATTTTTGTTGCCTCTCTAGGCAGTAGCTTGTGCAGAAGCTGGTGTCACCTTGATCTCCCCATTTGTTGGACGAATTTTTGATTGGTATGTTAAGAACACAGACCAAAAGGAATTTCAACCTGCAGATGACCCAGGTAGAGATGACAAGTAAATAAAATGATATCAATAAATGACTGGCTGGAGCTTACAAATTTATTTGTGCAAAAATACCAACCAAGGAAAGTGAACAACTACATCACCAGGCCTCAGATGTTTAAAAGGTGGATAAAGCTATCCACTGAATAAATCTCTATCCATTGGATAGCGGACTTGGTTACCCCAATACATATCCACTGGATAGTGATTGAAATCCAGTGGATAGCGCTATCCAATGTTTGTTTTACAACTCTGTAGGCAATAAAATGTTTAGCCTTTTTCTTCTGGATGAAAATGTGGCTGGATTTCTTGAAAACTTTTTTACACTTAACAGTGTACACTTTTCAAATTTTGTGGTTTGTATTCTTCTCTGTAATAGTAGAATTTCACGTGTTCTCAGTGATGTAATTATGAAATAATGAAGTACTGTATGTGTTAGTGTCTCTGACCCTCTGTGTATTTGGGTGCTTATCATAACAAAACGTTTCTGGAAAATCCAGTTGGAAAGTAAATGGAACACAACTTTTAGGGTCATTTTAGTGGAAAATTCTCTGTACAATGTATGTTGTTCATGTTGTTTATCACAACATGGGTGGCAGTACATCTTCATTATCAATATGTTGACTTGTTCTTTCTTAGGTGTTAAGAGTGTGACAGCAATATACAACTACTACAAAAAGTTTGGTTACAAAACTGTTGTCATGGGAGCATCATTCAGAAACCTTGGGCAAATCACTGAACTGGCTGGATGTGATCTTCTCACAATCAGGTATCAGCAAAAATTCAACTAAGGGGTGCATGGAATATTGAAGGCTCTAAGCGAGTCTTCATAAAATCTCAAATTCGTGTTTTGATTATCAAGCACATACAATGCAATCTGCTAGGAGAATACCTCCACCCTGGGGAGAGTGAAGAATGGCAGGTCATTGTAGGGAGATTATTGCCCTTGTACAGAGGTTGAAACATGAAAGAATGTATCTGCCAGGACAGACGAAAGTAGCTGTTGTGGAGGGAACCATTAGCAGAGTTTCTTTATGTGGTATATGATACAATTCCTACTGTTTGCCTTAAGCTTTTGCTTGAAATTGCCCATGAATTTTGTAATTATATTATTTTCTTAGCTGTGAAGAACATAAAATTGTAATAATGACAAGTTACAAATTTCCAAAATAACAAATACCAGAAGATAAAATACAATAGGTCAATCCCCGAGCTGCTAGTGAGCCCCACCACCCCTAGTCCAGAAGCACTAACGTTTGTTTCGTATTTTCAGTCCATCTTTGTTAGAAAAGCTCGTGAAATCGACTGAGACAGTCTCCCAAAAGCTTTCGGTTGAGGAAGGTAAGGATAAACATTAACTTTGCCGTCAGGTGATGGTTAATGAAAATCAGTTCCTAAACGTAATAATAATAAAGTATTTATAACTTTTTGAATTATCATTTTAGTTTTAGACGTAGATTCTTATTCTGTGTTTTGTAACTTGTGATTTATTATAAGAGCATAGGAAATTTATGAATTTCATGGTTTCCCTCAGCTATATACTACTGATTCATTAAGAAGTCCCGTTTTCATTACCAGTATACAAGGTCAAACATTTTTTATTACTCTTCCTTGTATTTTTACAGCTCAAAAGCTTGATATTGAGAAAGTATCCTTGGATGAAAAGAAATTTCGTTGGCTTCTCAATGAGGACCAAATGGCTACTGAGAAGTTAGCGGAGGGAATCAGAAAGTTTGCTGCAGATGCTGTAAAACTTGAGGATATGATTAAAGCAGAGCTCCAAAAGTAACTGCAGATCTAAACACAAGCTGGTATAAGTGCCAAGACCTACACTGGACCCATGTGGAACTCTATCTATGTGCATTAAAAAAAATACTTTGTCTTGATATTTTACATGACCATTTTACCCAATAATAAGGCTTGAAGGTCCCGGTATTTAAAATTAGTATCTTACTGAATTAAGTTCTTTTTAGGCTGCAGAAGTAATAGGTGTATTTTCTGACTTGTGAAAATATGCGTACCCGTAATGGTGCAATAAATTGCAGTTCTGTTTATGTACATTTGTTTCTACTGTTTTTGCTATTGTTTCTGTCATTGTTTACCTGATTTCACTCTTGGTGTTTCTGATATCTACAGAAAGTTGCGCATGTGCATTGATCATGTGTTAAAGGCAGAACACTCCATGGCGTCTTTTAGGCCCCCCAGACACTGTCCACATTTGGCCGGTTTTTTCTTTGGCGCCGTCAGCTGTTTGCTTTGTGAGCGAACTCTTTCTCTGTTCATTGGCTATTTGACTAGTCCCCATTCCCCTCCCACTATTTCTCCTTAGTGGTACGCGGGGTGTGATGGGAAGGAGGAAAGGTCCTTGCTGCCGCCGTGCCCGTTACGCGCGAATCGTGGTGAATGGAAGAAGCCAAACTCGAATGGGCCAGAGAATTATCCACGGTTGAGATAGCCTGAGAAACAGACGACATTTTGCGACGCCACCAACGGTTTCCCCGCGAAATGACGTCTGAGGAACCATACGGATGACGTGTCACTACCCAGATCTGGGTAGTGCTTCCGATTGATCATGGCGCGTGGGAAATTTGCTTCAACCAATAAGAAGCACTACCCAGATCTGGGTAGTGCTTCCGATTGATCATCGCGCGTGGGAAATTTGCTTCAACCAATAAGAAGCACTACCCAGATCTGGATAGTGACGTGTCATCAGTATAGATTTTCTCAGGCTACGGTTAAGATTACCTGTCTTGTGATACAGATACTGAATTCAACAACAACAACATTATTTTAACTGACATAGCTGCCAAAAGAGCTCCAGTTAAAAAACCACAGTTCAAAATGAACTTTCGAGGAAATTTTTACAGAAAGGCCAACTGACCGTCTGGCCGTGAGACATGGTTTGGGATATCAAAAACCATGGTGTCTCGATTTTCTTATAAAATGAATTTCTCCAGTTTGATTGGAAAGTGGTTTTAGCGTAATTTGAAATACCAACATGCGAAAAATTACAAACCGTTTGGGTAGTAGAAACATGGATTTTTGTGATATTTATAAAACTCATTTCAAAACAAATTTCACAGGGGACCTGGTGTATAACAATTTCGTGGTATTTTTAAATAAATCATGCCCTAAACAAATCTCACGGTGAATGAGAAAAGCCAAACAACTCCAGTGGGAGTGAACTAATATCAAAACATCAGTGTTCATACTAGTAATGTCTAATAGTGTCAAATCTAATTTGTGAGGGAATACAAGAGAGAATAATTATACATTGCAGGGGCGAATCCAGGCATTTTTGATTGAGGAGAGGGGGTCCAGATTATAGGAGGGTACCCAAAAACAATTACATTTTTTAATATCCCTGGAATTTATTTTAGTGGCAAAATGCGATGCGCGCTTCATTAAAAAAAATCAGCCAGTTAAAAGGTGATATACGATCCGGTCGATGTAAGAATTTCAGTCTCAAACAAGCGTCAGGTTTGATATGGGGGGGATTCCAGATTCTCCCCCCCTGCATCCGCCACTGATGATTGCATAGTTATATTCCGTCTCCTGTTTCTTGTCGTGTAAAAATTCGTGTGAAAATGTGCGCGGTCTCAAAAATATCAGTAATCGTTTGGGCATAGCCTGGTTTACGATCAACGACGAACGTCAATTTGTACCACTTAAACCAGATTTCTCTTAGCCTGCGTAGCAGGCGCTTGGAAGCAGTGGGCACAAGAAAAAACGGGCGCGCGACAAGGAGACACCGTTCTCTCTTTAGCCCACTACTTCCAAGCGCCGGCTACGCAGGCTAGATTTCACTTGTCGTTTCAGTGTTCATTATATCTACACAGAAATAGAACATTTGATGTTAGGTTCATCGCGTTCAATCAGAACGTTTCCTAATCTTGGTGTTCCTGTGGTACAGAGCCACAGATTTTCGAGGTATCGGGGGCTTCGGGGGCGACTGCCGATCAGCTGCCCCCACTGATTTTATCAGGGGCATATTGGCCGGGAAACTGGACTCCTTTCGACTCGAATTTCGTTTCCGTAAGTGATGAACGCGGATCCGTATTCAATGATTACCTCTAGTCAGTAAGAATGATTTTGGACAGTTGTATCATCTCATTTCTAAATTCGACAAATATGAACTTGAATTTGACGTTACCCGTTTGCCGAATTAAAAACGTGATTCTAAATCGGCTCACGGGCTCCCGTGATATGAAACATACGCGCTAAAGTCGGTGGCTGAAAAGGCTTTTAAATCTGTGAACCGACAAAATCAAAATGGTTACTCGTCAACGTCACATCAGAAAAAGAAACAAAAGAATACAATGGCATCACCAGTAAGGTAGAAAAGAACATAAGACATACGAATGTACCTGATTTTTTATTTTCAGTTGACACAAATTTTGGAAATATTCAGGTTAGAGGTTCCAATCTCAAAATTTTTCAAAACCTCCAAACACGCATGGATTTAGTGTTGGCAGGTCTGTTTTAGTTTGTTACTGCGGTGTTGAGTGTTTCAGAGAACCAATTAGTTTAAATTAATATGATACTGTAATCTACATCGGGATAAAAAAGAGACAATAAATGTAAATTTCTTCCCCTTTTGTGCCATGCGCTAAAAATTGTATCCACCCCCTATACCCATTTTCAGTTTCATTTTAAAAATTTCCCCCCTCCCCCCTTCAGTCTTAACACTACCACCACCCCACCCGTGCGCGTGGTGGCTTTAATAGGAAAGGTAAAAGGAAAATTCGGAATTTCTTTGGAATTTCGTCTTTAATCCCCAACCTTTGTTGCTGTCCCCAGGTTTATTACTTTTAGCTTAGGTGTCTTGAAATCCTTATCATCCTGTTTCTTTCATGGACTACCTTGACTTACGGTAAGAGATGAAATATGATTAGATATAAATTTGTGCTGAATTTTAGGACGTAATGCGTTCATATATTTTGATCAATATTTTCTTTCGACCATCAATGGAATCATTTTTGAAAAATCGCACGTCAAACCACAAAAACTGACGCTCATTTCCGTTGAAACCCGTTTGTCAACCTGCAGAACCCTGTTACACTCGCTGTAACCGTAACAACTTCCACCTTCCAAAAATTTCGTAACATCCGCACCTCCAGACACACCCCTTTGATTAACCAATAGCCAACTAGATCAGAAAGGTCTTGCATGTATACGCAGCCAAGCCTTTTTTGTCTCATCACGCAACATTTCTCCCAACAGAAAACTGAACTTTGTCCTTTCAGTTTTGACTAAAAAAAGACAGATCAATTTCGTCTGTAAACAATAGCTTTCCCGGAAAAAAGGTAGAAAACAGGAAAAGCAGAACAAAAAATCAAATGTAATCAATATTCCGATGAGTGAGGTTACAAGTGCCAATCATAATATAACATTGCGTCACGCATTCGTTTCTTTACGTGTCGGATTCCGTGCGATACGGTAGTTGCTCAACAGGGTAATTGAGCAAGGCCAGGAAGTGCGATTAAAACTTGATTCGACGGCTAAAACGGTAAAATTGAAGAAGGGAATATTTGCAACGTGGTCAGTTTTCACACTTTGCTTCGTTCAAGGTTCAGTTTGCGTGTCGTGAACCAGTTCCCGAGCACAAAGCTTCTCCTCTGTTGATAGCAAGCAGCACAGTCGGAAATGCATACTAAACCGGGGAAGAAAGAACCGTCTCTACTTGTGAAGTTTGTAAGCGCTGGATTAGCCGCATCTGTGGCTGAGGCTGCTACTATTCCGATAGACACGGCGAAAGTTCGACTTCAGGTAAGCTGGTCTTTAACCGCAAGTGAATGGTTGGATGTTTAGCCAAGGTCACCCAACGTATACAATGAACTTTTTTTGCATCTTACCTGTTCATGACGTTTTAAGAGAACAGCCAACACTACTGCTGCTAGATTTGTAACTTAATCTATCCTCGAAACGCTTTGCTTCTATCTACACGGGAATTACTTCCACTACATTTACGTTTTATTAATAGAAAATGGAATGCCTAAATTTATGGCTCGCGAGAGGATTCAGATCCAAAACAGTTTTTAACCCTGTGGAAATAATTTATAGCAGCTTAATTCTAGAATAAAGCATTTCCACTATATCGTTAGATATAAGACGCATGTATCGTCAACGAGACAGCTCTAAAGTTGGTATTGTAAATAAGTCTTGCAATTTTCTGACGGTATAAAGAAATATTTACCTCGGACCAGTGAATCGTGTGACGTGTAACGTAGTGAAATGTTTGCATGTTTCTTTTTTCTGGTTTCGTTTCATCATGTCCAATGCAAAACATGTTTGAATACTGCGATCATTAACTCGCGAATCGATTTACGAGGGGACCTTGATTGGTTGGTCGGTCAGTTCTTTAGTTGGTCGACTCTTGTAAACTTGATTAAAATCAGGACTGAATAGTAGAATTGTAAAGCAATGATTGCCCCTGAACTAAACATTGTGTCACCATGTACAGAGTTAGTTAGCAAAGTCTGTGACTTTCTTAGTCTTGGAATGGAGTGGATTGGAGACTTAAATAAGAAAGGGTAAACTTGTGACCCTCATAAGTGCCCCTTTTATTCAGTCCTCATTTCTTATATTGGTTCAACAAACAGTTTATCTTATAAAATCATACCTTACAAAGACTTTTGCTCAAGAACCAATTGGGAAGACACAGCTACCCTGAATTGATTTGAGTAACCCCCACCCCACTCAACACCTTATAAAGTGGCATTATTCAAAGAGATAGGATAAAATCTTTAATAAATGATTCACAAGTCAGTTCCTAGAGCTCTTTGATTTGTTAACGGCCTTGTTTTGCAAACCTGCCCACTCATTAGGGTTTGAAACTGGATCATGAGAAAGGCATAGGCAGCAATTAAGCAGTCTAGGAAAAGACCTAGTGTTAAATTTTATTCTCCAGTGTGAAAGAAAAACATAACCAATGGTTTTGAGTGATCAAAATTTCAAATTTTGGCTCAACTTCTAGTTTTAGTACACTTCCTTCCTACCTGCCCCTAGTGGGGATACACTATTGTAACAGTAATATTTGAATAACAGCTCCCCCAAAAGTCTGTTGGCCATCTGTCAGTAGACTGTCAACTGACAGTTGACTGACAGGTGACCAACAGCTCTCTGACAGTCAACTGACAGATTTAAACCAACCCTAGATTACGAACTTATGCATCAGTCAATTCCAGCTTCGCCCCCAGGCAGCGCAAAATTTGCAAGTGCACCACCCCTGGGACTGATAAGGCGGGCAAATGCCCCGCAGTAGCCGGGGGGGGTGGGTGGGCTGGGCGCAGCTGGAACTGACTGGAACTGACTGATGCATTAAGCGGTGAAACTGTGCAACAATTTCGATGACCGTTTGTCGGCCATCTGTTGGTCTTCTGTTGGACGACTGTAGGTTGTTTGTCAACCGACTGTTGGTTGACAGTCGGCCAACAGAGGGCCGACAGATATTTTTGGCAGCTGTTCTTTAATTTTACCCTTTGATTGTAACAGTTTTTATACACTAGTTCAGTCATTTTTAGGTAGAGCAGGCGACTATTAGTGGATTTCCACTGATTGAAACTCTTTTTTCTGTGATACTCATCCTTTTATTATGAAAATACTTTTGTTTTTTTATAGATTCAAGGTGAAAATGCTGTTATGGCAAATGTATCAAGTGGTGTTTCAACTGGCAATCCCAGTGTAAAATACCGTGGAATGATAGGTTCTATGGTAACAGTGGCAAAAACAGATGGTGTTCGCTCCCTGTACAGAGGACTTGTACCAGGAATTCATCGACAACTCTGCTTTGCTAGCATCAGGATAGGACTTTATGACAAAGTTAAAAAATTTTATGGAGATGAGGACATAAACAACCCAAAAGTTATAAAGAAAATTCTGGCTAGTTTTACAACAGGTGTCTTTGCAGTATCACTGGCTCAACCAACCGAAGTAGCTAAAGTGAGATTTCAAGCTAGTGCCTCCAGATTTGGATCAAGTAAGGCCTTAGATGCTTACAAGTCAATTTACAAAAATGAAGGGATACGTGGAATGTGGAAAGGTGCCTTCGCAAATATGGCACGGCTCTCCACTGTGAATGCCTCAGAGCTTGTTGTGTATGACATGGTGAAAGGGTTCTTTCTAAGAAAAAATCTCATGGCTGATGAGATGCCGCTGCATTTTGTATCTGCCTTTGGGGCTGGCTTTGCTACCACTGTGATAGCTTCCCCTGTTGATGTGGTGAAGACTCGCTACATGAACTCGCCACCAAATACATATAAGAGTGCCATCCACTGTGCTTATATGCTGTTGAAACACAATGGTCCTCTGGCTTATTACAAAGGGTAAATCACCATTTTTACTGTATTCATTCGCTCATTTAATCATGAATCCATTTATTAAAATGTCAACAAGAAACAAGCAGGAGAAGGTAACAGCCACCTATCCATAACAGCCATTTTATTTTTTTTCCAGTGGTTTGTCCATACAATTTCACTCTCATTTTCCTTTTTTTTTTCCTTTTCTTTCCCTTTGTTTGTTTTTATTTATTGAGCAGTGGGGAGACTTGGGGGATCTTGACCTCCTGCCTCCTGCAACTTGCATTCCCAGCTCCTACTCCTTTTTTCCTGGTTAATTCCTCCCTTTAGCCCTTGATCAATTCCAAAATGTGAAGCTTTTTAGCATAATTTCCCCCTGTTTCTGCTGCTTCTCACCCTTTTGCAATTCCCATCTCCCGTGTTTCATGTCCATCCTCCCGTACCCCATATATAGCTGTCAAAATCCCTGTTGCCCGGCCCTTAATCTTAATGACAGCTATGTAGGAAACCCTCAGAGACAAGGATCAGAACACCAACTAATTAGTGCGAATTATAATCTGTATATAAATATTACTTTGAAATATAATGTCTTGCTCCAAGAGCCATTATTATGCAAAACCAGTGCTTGCTGCAGGTTTCCCCTATAGTAATAATATTCAATGTCTTAAAACAGTAATGTGCCCGTCATCCTCATCTTGAAAGTTATTGGTATTACTACTGAAAATATTATTATACTGAGTACATTATTATATACCTTTTTAATAGTTTTCAGTTGAAAAGATACAGTGTTGCATTACTGTAACTAACACTGTAGTGTAATTCTATACTGACTAATAGCACTGTTCTCTGTTTTCATATTCAGGTTCACCCCAAATTTCATGAGGCTGGGAGCTTGGAATATTGTTATGTTCATGTGCTTTGAACAATTTAAAAGATTTTTGGGCTCATTTTCTTCAGAAGATTGAGGTTTTATAATCATTCTTTTTAGAATATTCATGGGAATTTTCAATCGGATTCTATTTAATAATTATTATTATCTGTGCATGTCAATATAGGTATTACTAGGTAATTCTTTTAAGTTTAGAAGGTACACTGTGGAGTGTTACCTGATATACTTAAAAATTAAAATGGAAGAGGGATCATTCATCTTGAAAGGTTCAAACTATGTCTGGCTATACTAGTCAATTTAAGATGGATTTAACTATCCATAACAGTGTATCTCATTATCGATTTTGTTAAGAAGTTCTTTCAATTGATCTTTAGAAATCAGTGATTGAAGATTTAGTGTAGGATTAGGGCTGTTAACAGACTAAGATACCTTTAATTTAGTAGAGCTAGCTGTGAGTTATAATCACTCAAACAATCATTAAGTAATGTAAATAACAAAACATACATGCCCATGGGTGCATAGTAATTACACAAGTTCTCATTTTAGTGAAAACCTTTGGGACTCCATAAGTAGACTTACAACATTTCAGACCTGGCAGCTCTAGATGTTAATCTGGGGTGTTAACCCTGCAAAATGTCTAAACAAACTGCTATTTTTACCTTTCTTAATTTCATCCGTATCTTTCATAAAAACAGAAAACACAGTAGTATAGTAATCAGCTATCGATCGGTTTGGACAACATCAGTCTTAACCTGAATCTGTATTAATATTAAATTATTATTAACATTTTTATTATAGATCGTAAAATCCTAGGTAAATTCCCAGTTTCCATTACTCCCCATTTCAGGTTGCTATTATTATGAATAAGGGAAAGTTCATTTAATATGACAAGGGGGAGGATGAAGATATTGAAACTCGAAGCTTGAAATTTTAGCAGCCCCCCTCGCTAGCGGTTCAATTTTTTAGGAGCCCCCCCCTTGGTAGTCGAAAAAATTTCAGAGGCCCCCCCCCTCCTCCTTCAATTCCTTTGCTCCCCTGAAAAAAGATCGCCAGACTGTCTTAAATATATTTACCGTTACTGTCTTCAATGGTTTATACTATGACAAACTTGAGATGCAGTTGTGATACAATTTTCTAAAGCATTTTTGGAATGAACAAGAGTGTAATAATTACTGAGACTACATTTGTTATATCTGTAAACCACGTGATATAGCTGAGTTGCACAGGTCATTAAATTGTTGAGTTGAAAACCATCCGATCTGTATGATGATGTCATGTGTTGGTTTTGAAGTAAACAAATTTTCGGAGACCCCCCCTCCTAGCGCAACAATTTTTTCAGAGCCCCCCCTTCGGGTGTCTAAAAATTTTCGGTGCCCCCCCTCAATATCTTCATCCCCCCCCTTGTCATATTAAATGAGCTTTCCCTAATTAAGGAATTAATAAAACCTGTAGGTTTCAATCAAAGTATTGTATTTTTCATAGGTTAAATAAGCTTAACATTGCTTGCAAAATTTTACCAAAACAAACAACGGCAGTAAGATACTTCTTTTCTTTAGGAGTGGCAATATTAAAATATCATTAATGCAATAAACTTAAGCAGGTCGAAGTGTGTTTGTGTTGTATATGAGAAGAAACGAAGTTATATATGTCAAAACAGAAAAAGGCTCAAGCTTAAGACGAAAGCTTTTAAGCTGTTTTAAGCTAAGCTCAAGTTTATTTAAATTTTTACAAAACTCACCTGAAATACACTGCGCTTGTTACTGAGTTACCAAAAACTTATTTATGAAAAACACATGTTCATTTAAAAATGTAAAATAAAAATTTCTGACTCGAAATCGGCGGGGTCGGGCTTTCCCAGCAAGAAAATGTTCTCGAGTAGTTTTTCAAAACACTGGGCCCTTCCCGCTTCCTGCTCAAAGCTTCACGCGGTAATCAATGATTTTCGCGCTATTTGTCAACAGTTTCCGCGCTCCTCGTTCAGTTTTCGGAGATCGACGCTACGCTCGGATGTCGAATGTCGGATTTTCAAAGCTTCGGATTTTGGTTTTCACTTGACGTCACCAAATTATCGATCCCCCTGGCTTTTTAATTTCATGAAGTATTAGAGAAGCTAAAAACTTCTATTTTTACAAATTTTCACTGCGAAGGGTTTCTTTGTTATGTGAGGTCCTGCCAGGATAAATTCCGACAAGTGCCATGGCCCAAAAAGTAGCGACAGCGTGCAAAATGAAATCGCCACAAGAGACAACCTCCCTCGGCCAAATTGCGACAGTGACAGCAAACCCGACAATAAGCGACAGGCATTTATAAACACCGACACGAGACGTTTTAAAATTCAGACGGACGACATAGGACCCCCCCCCCCACCCCCCCACCACCACCACCACCACCACCACCACCCCCTGCCAGGGCCTCTTTTGTGATAGAGTACGCTTGAATTTCTAACCGCATTCATGTGGCGGCCGAGAGAGCTATTTGTCATGTAGGTTAAAAAAAGTAACTTATTTTGGGGACAGTCCTTACTTTGAGTAAGTTCTTCAAGGGATAAATTCACGCTTTCATTGCAAAACTGGTAACAGATGTTTCTGGTGGTTTCTGTCAGCCATGTTGGTGCCTCTCAGAGGGACACCAACATGGCGTCTCCATAGAAAGTTCTGGCTATACATTTAGGTAAAACATTCCCCGAATATTTCGCATACGAAAAATTGCACCAGCCTGAATCTTGGTGAGGGTATTTGAATATATACGTCCTTTTATTTTCCAGATTCTGGAGTAATCTATTGAAGGGTTTTTTTGTTGCTCTTTCGATAACGTGACAGTGAAAACCAGCAATGGGCGCTGCAAGCTTCCGTACATGCTGAGCTTGTTGTACAAGTCTAGTCCCAGGTGCTTCTAAGCGTAATATTAGGGTTTTGTATGGGAAATAATAAAGAGGTTGTACTGGAAATAAAACTGAAATAACAAGACTGCAAGTACCAATAGTACTTGTATACCCGTGAATACCGGTGTTGTTCTCTGCTTTTCTGTGGTCTTCTTATGAAGTTTCGGTGTAATTTGATCTACTATAACATCATCTGAAGAAAATCAGCTATCTCTAGCTTGCTTGCACTACACTTACTTGAGCTAACCAGTTGCAGTCTTGATATTCTGCAGTGATATTTTGATTTTGCAACGATATTATCTTTTGGAAGCACAGACGTCCAGGCCTTACCCTTATACGTCCCATACGGGATATGGCCCTGTCCTGCCGCTGGACAGGGTATGGTTTTTTACCTCTCTGTCCTAAACAGGGTATATAATCTCGTGTGAGTCTGCCCTAAACAGGGTATGCAGGCCCGGATCCACACCGGTTTCCACCCTTTTACAGAAATTTTACAGAAATCGGTCACATTTTTCCAAGTTGAAATCCTGTCTGAATGACTCGGAAACCCTGGAAAGGGGATTTTAAGGTGTCAAAATCCAAAAAACGTCCTGAGGGCGCCCGCCCCATGGAACCGGCTAGAAGCTTACGCCTTCGGCCCTCGTTTAGGAAATCGGTCAGTATTTATCCTAGGTCCGCGCCTTGTGGTATGTAATTTCCTGTCTGTCAACAGGGTATTGCCTGCACGATTGATTTGATTTGCTAGATGAATTTTCTTTGTACTCCAAGTATACAAAAGCAATGACTATAACGTGCATTTTCGCTATTGCAATTGCCGATAAATGGCTTTAACAAAAGACGGCGTGCATTTTGAGAGTGTTTTCCTAAAATTGAGGGTTTTTATTTTAGGAATTTTTGTCCCAGACAGGTTTTAGGAGCTCACCTATACTCAAGTATTGGTCGACTACTCCCCCCTCCCCTCCTTCCCCCGGGATGGAATTCTTTTCATTCTGTATTCAGTTTCACACTTCTAGAGGTATGGATTAGGAGTTTGCTAGTTTAGCGATAATTCCTGGAATTTGAGGACTCTCCAATTCAAGCTAACATGGCAGGAGCAAGAATTAACAATTCAATAAAAATTTGTCCCAGACAAGAGGAAAATGTTATTTAATTATCAGCACGCGTTTTCAAAGCACTTTTATGAGCGTCGGCGGAAACTTATATTATAGACCACGATAAACAAAGGAGGTAGGGGATCCGGCCTTAGCTGACAAATATGTTTTTCACCTGTCGTTAAAAGCAAGTAAGTATGTGGTCTTAAAACGCGTTCAGACTTTTAGTTTTGTATACCCAATAAAACCATTATTCCTGCTTCAAAGAACGGAAAACTAAATTGTCATTTGAATACTTCAGTTCACTCGTTTCATTTACCGGATTTTTGTTTTTTCGGCTTCCTGCTTTTGATTACAGAGGCCGAGAAGATTAATTTCTTGACGGTATGCAAATTTTTGGAAGTTTGCATCTATAACTGAACTGATGTGTAATTACCTCTGATTTGGCCTGTGATTCCTGAAAGAGGATTGACCATAGAGAAAGTTTTATTATGTTGATCAATATTATTGGTAAATCTCATGTTCGGCCAATATCTCACAATCTTTTAATTGTGAACCGAAATTATTAAATTTAACTCTCAGCTGTTCGGTATTAAATAAATTAACCGCACTCATCTTCTCTGAAGGCAAAGAATCGTACCAGTTGAATATACTTACTGAGCAACCTTGAACAAAGCATAATTTCAAGTTCGCAATCAAGTACCCATTGCCCAAGCTGATTTTCTTTTTATGAACTACTCCATGCATATCGCCTGTTGGTATAATCTGTAAGCTTTTAAGCTGACCAGAGGGTCCTGGCAGAATAATAGCCTACTGCCGTAAAAGTTTCTTGCTCTCTAAGGGGCTTGGTTGGGGACAATAAGTAATCAAAGTGCAGATCAAGATGGAATAGTGAGGTCTCTCTTGAGCGAATGTATTGTGCTTACTCCTTTCCACTTCGTAGGTTCTTCGGTGAAAGGTCGGAGCACGAAGATCTTCGTTTATCCACGGCACCTTGCACGGCCAGTGCATTGCGGCTGTACATTAATGGTTGACTGAGTGAGACTCCGAACAGACTGTACGAATTGCCGGGATTGTTCAAAGCACTCTTTGGCCTTTGTGTTGCTGTCAAAACTGGATTCAAACTGCCGCAATCTTTTTCAGTTTGAGTCTCTTTTACGTACAGCGTAATTTCTCTTTCATGCTTTTTTCGGACCTTCAACAGCTTCAAATCTTCAACAAATACATTTGTATGCAAGGACGGCGTTTTTAAATTGTCCTTTTCCATTTTGCTTGAGCCGCTAATGTCGCTGTACACATCATACCTACTCAGCTTGATATCTTCTTTAGCGGCTATCCTTCCATCCGAAAGTGCTTTGTCGTCATCTAGTGAACTCATCTTGTGATGTAGATTTATATTTTGCACTAGTCTGTTGCTGACCAGACAAAGCGAACCCAAAGACACAAGCCGGCCGGGTAGTTTTAGCGTGCGAAACTAAACATGAACAGCTTCGTTGAAGTTTTGCACTGTACATTAGCGCTTAACGTTATCGCAAGATCCTGAAAACAATTCACAACAAGAAGAAAAAAAGCGTAGCAGCTGGTGTCAGCGGAAATCATAAATTTCCAGTGTTACTTATACCTCTTGCAGGCTTCCAAGGTTTCAGTTTGCAGGAATAAAATTGCGCAATTCCAGTTTCGAAAGCGTTCCCTTGCAAAAAGATTACTATCCTAAAGCTAACCTTACCACAGACTGTTTGTTTATCTTGAAACCCTATTTTCTACACAAAGCGAGGTGGTATTGTTTTTAAATCAACAAAAGAAAATAGAAATCAGATTCAGCTGGCCTGTTATAAGGACGATAGTGACGTCACATGACAGGTGATTAACAAAAACTGTCTTTTCGTGGGCGAGAGTGTGTTTTGTTAAATTACTGTCGATGAGGCAATAAAATTTTCTTTTCTTTGGCTGGACCAGTGCCGTCATTTAGTAAAATTCTAGAAGCTGCATATCCTATTGAAAATCCAGCATTCTGATTGGCTGACGCGCTCTCTATCTATATATCAGTTATGGGTATATCAGTATCTGTCAATAAGTACTCGATAAAATCATAGCGCTTAAATATTTTGCAATAGAATACTCAAAACCATCAAGTCATTTTACTAAAACAATTAGACGATCAACTCTTGATTTCTAAATTATCGCATTTCACAGACCCATCAAAACCTCGAATTATTCGAGGACAAGAAGGCAGTAAAATTTTAAACATGGCGCGTGATCGAAACCAAAAGTGAATTTAAGTTGCAAAAATTAAGACTGTATTTAGCCGTTGAAGCTATTTCATGTCGTCCTGTTGCCCCCGCTGCCCAAGTTTTACTGCGGTGTCTGCAAAAATCACCAAAAAAATATTATGGTTAGTGCTCCCTGATAAAGTATGTTTGATTTCTACTTCATAACTCTACAGGAGGATTTGACGGGTAAAATCCATCCCGAAATAAAAAGGGGGAAAATTCGTATATAATTCGTAAAACTCGGTTGTGATATCATGTGATATGCAATGCAGAGCTCTGCGCACCCTTTGAACGGTGAGATAATAGACTCTATAAAGCCATGGTCCTCCCGGTTCTAGATTATTGTGATGCTGTGTGGCATGAATGTGGACAAGGAAACAGTGACAAGATTGAACGACTACAAAGACGAGCAGCGAGGATCATCTACTTCAAAGCTGCCTCAAAACTATCAACTGATCAAATTATGACTAAACTGGGCTTGGAACCTCTCTATTATAGAAGACGGACACACATTTTAAGATTTGTTGATGAGTGCATTGCAAATAGAGTTCCCAGATACCTTTCTAATTATTTCAATGTAAGAAACCGTGACATTCACCGCCACAAAACTAGAAATAATAATGACCTTATTTTGGAAAGAATTAATTTAGAATGCACCAAGCGCGCTTTTTTCTACAAAGGTGCGAAAATTTTTAATAATTTTTAATATATTCTTAGAATTTATAACTGTTCGATCTTTCGTTTGGTGTGACTATTTTGTAATATTGTGATTTGATTTTTATCTATATTTTAAATCTTTTTTATTTTTATTTTTTCATTTTTAATTTTTTACAGGACCTGCATTGATAGCAGTTTTTTTTAAAACTGAAGCAGCAATCCTGCATAAATATGTTTAAATTATTATTATTATTATAAGTGAACGCTGCATGACAAATTCAGTACTAACCTAAGGAATGCCAGAAATTGCAGCCGTGGCATAGTTTGATTGCAAACCTATATACTAAAATTACAAATTCGATCAACGCAGAACTACCTCCCGCAACAAGGATTTCCTTCGGGGTAGTCTGCAACTCCTCCATCAAGTTTGGTCTTAGCTGGTCTTATCAAATGAGTTGATGAATGATATAATAAACTCACTAAGTTTGTCTCATGAAATGTGCGATGTTTGGCCCAGGCGTTGAGACATTAGTAGCATGGCTACAACACAATAACACAATATTAACTTCACACAATAGAACGAGACAACAGGGCATATATTGACTTGGTATATAGAGTATCACCAGTTTTCGTCCTGGGTTGACTTGGCGCAGATGGCGACCCTGATTGACATGATTAGTTAAGGTGATGTTACACGGAACGATTCGCAACGACGATTTTTAGCGCAAAACAGCGTTGCAATATTGGAACAATGTAGCTGATTTTTTTAGGGAAGGGGGCGTCTGTACACAGGCTACCGCGACTCACTCAATAAAAACGCAAAAAGGAACAAGGCCAACATTCTGCCTTAAAGAGAATGGTTTCATTTCAGTCCTGCAAATTCTATTGCTTTTCATCACTCTCGTCTACGGATACCCTTGTTTAGGGTCTAGGAAAAACCAATTCAGAAATAATTTGCACACCCAATTTTATTTATTGGTACAACAAAAGGTACTACAGTCATAATTTACCTCTTTATTCAACATTATTATGTATAAATCTCTCTTAAATTTTCAGCTGATATCACTATCTCTAAAACAAAACATCAGTATCATAAGATGTATGATCCTGTTTTCCACAAATTCTACAAGTAGATGAGCTAATAATTTACAATAACTTAATATTTAAATACCGTTGACTTTAAGTTTCACATAGAAAATAGTCAATCAGTTTTTTTTGTTCTTAAAATATCTATACCCTCCTTAGGAGTGACCCCACTGCCTTGAAAAAGGACTTACTTTTCAGCAAAGATCGAGGTCTATGTAACTTTCACATTTTTTTTTTTTACAGGAAAGAACTCCTGATGTGAAATTTCTCAAGGTTTCTTAACACTTCCAACATTGCTCCACCTCAAACTTTTTTAAAATAGCCTGCGAACAGGCTTCCAAGTGAAACGGGGAGAAAGAAAATTAGCCAACAAAGCAAGCTGAGCATGGCCCGGGGAGAAAAAAAAGGCATAGGAGCCTCTAGTCTTGGCTTGCTTTGCTTGCCAATTTCCTTCTTTGCCCCATGTTGCTTGGGAGCCTGTTCACGGGCTATTCCAAAATAAAATTCTCACCAGACCTCATTGAGGGGAGAGTAATGGACACTTCTGGGAACAAAAAACTGATTGACGCCTCAAAGAGCACGAGTTGAATAAAAAACTGCTCCTTAATAAATAATAAACCACAACATGCCTTACAATCTAACATTTTACATCTTATAAACTATATCCTTAAAAAACAATAATTTGGTTGAAGGATTGTATAACTTTAAATAAATGACATGAATAATTTGGGACAAAGTATATACCTCACAGCATAATTTAGCAACAAAAAGCTTAGAAGTCAGTAATAATAAATAAGTAACACATATAATAACACAATAAATAAACAAAAATTAAGTTGGACTTCATAATATTGTTTGCCTCAAAATAATGTTGTCAATCTTTGGCATCTACTAATCTATGACAATTAACTGATCTTTGAAAAAAAAAATATGTATATTATCGTCATGTTTACAGTTCTTATCCTACCAAAATGAAAATTAAAACATGACAAAAAGGCAGAGAATTCTATTCATTCCTTTCAAAGAAAAAAAATTAATCTCAATAAGGGAACAAAACAAAATAATATTAATCATAAGTATAACTTCCATATTTAAGATACTCTGATCAGCCATGAATAAGCTAGTTCACAAATAGATCATGTGTATGACTAAACAAGTTGCAACTACCTTTGTGTATCTAGTGCTTTTACCTATAAAATAGTTGTCATGGTCTAATCTCGACCGAAAAAAGGCCATGTCTTATTTATTACCCTAACACTGTAAAAAATCTAATTTATTTTAACCTTTTTTTGAAAACCACACTGATACTTGGAGCTACGAAAACTCTGTAAGTTCAGATGCTGAATCACAGCCATCATCACTAACATCATCTTTGAACAGGTGGTCTGGGAACTGGACATGCATTCGCTGCACAAAAGTTATGAAAGTCTTACATATGGGGCAGTAAGGTAGATGGCATGCACAGTCCTCACATGAACACACATGACCACAGGGAGAAAATGCGGTGTTGATTTCAGAGTCCATGCAAATCTGGCAGGTCCAATCATCGCATGCCGCATCATTGGAGAAATAAACTCGCTGCCAGGTTGTTGATGTATGATTACAAACTGGGCAGACAGTTTCATCTTTGGCACAACCCTCACAATATACCAGATGGCCGCAGGGTGTGAAAAGCACATTTGCTTCTTTTGAATTACATTTGGAACATTCTGATTCCCAATCATGTCTGAACGCACCACCGTCACTATGAACATTTCTGTAGTGAAGATCATACGATTGGCGCCTTGTGTGCTTGACATCTAGGTGGTAGAGGTCCCCTGAGGGAGTCTTGGTGAACCATTTGGCTGGCAGAGCCCAACAGGGAGTGGAAAGCAAGTAATGGTTAAGAACTGATCGTCGCACTTTACTTGAGCAGAAAAAAAGCTGGTGCTCCATGACAGCCTTGTGGATTGCCTTTGCAGCATCACCACTTGCCAGGAAGAAGTGAACAAAATTCAGCTTGCTGCTTTCTGATGTTTTCCTTAATACCACAATCAGTCGCTCTTCAGACACATTCACTTTCAATATGCTCTCAAATCCAATACTGTGGGTGGCAAAAATATTAGGTAACATATCGTAAGTAAACCATGTGGCATTAAATTTTTGTGGGAGGGTGAATATTAAGTTTTGTGGAAACTAACTGATCTTACTCGCTTTTTTTACTAGTCATTACTGCCATCAACAGAGTGGGTAAATTGGCTTTGAAATCTTTTCCTTTTGTCTTTGTCTGCTGAGTAACTTTAACTTTCTCACTTTTGGTACAATTTAATGTTCAATAAAATAGCCTGACCAAATTGAAGACTGCAGCCTTTTTGTGTAAGTAAAGGACCCATGCTTTTGGACACTGGGCTTGAAAAAGTCCTGTATAGTAGTAGGACTAGCAGACTTTCTCAGTGGGAAAGTAACTTTTAATAATAGTTCACCTGCCTTACGGGCAAGGGTCCAGGCAAGTCATCTCAATCTAGAGTACCAACAAAAGTAAGTTGACATTTGAAGCTCGAAACTCGAGACTCGATCCTCACGTCTCAAAGCTTGAACAATTCGAGTTTCAAGATGCAAGGATCGAGTCTGGAAGATGCGAGGGACGATTCTCAAGTTCCGATGATCAAGGATCGAGAAGCAAGGTTTCTCTGTGAAATTATTTTTGTTTTCCGAAAGAACAATGTTGTACAGTGCTGATCAGTGCTGCCGTGCAGTGTTCTGTAACTGTTTGAATTGCCAGCTTCAGCAAGCTATCAATAAGTGTAAATCGATATTTTCAGTTTCAAAGATTTATCCTCTATGTACAGTGTATGTGGCCGTTGCTTGCCATGTTCCGAGATTTTCACATGTAAATCATCAACTAAGACAAGCAAGTAATGGTCTCAAGCAAGAAAACATGAAAGCTACTTGTCCAACGGACAAGCTACAATTGCTGTCCAAATTAGTTGAGACACTAATTGTCCTAAAGGACCCCTCTAAGGTTTTGCCAACCTAAAAAAGGGAAAATGAAGCTTTTCCTTGACCCACACCCCCTCCATGCAATGTTCTGCTGCTGTTCAAGCAACCTGTAGGGGGAGGGGTGTTGATTAATTTGTTCTCCAATCTTACCCCTTTGAGATTTGTACCCTTTACTTACTGTACCAATAATCCGCATCAAAATTGTTGAGACATTGTACTCAAATGGGGTAACTTCAGAGAACAAAAGAATCCACACCCCTCCCCTGTCCCCTCCATTCAAAGTTGGGGTGTTTGTTGTTTTCTAAAGGTAGCTCGAACAGCGGCACAACATTGTATGGAAGGTATGAGGGAGGAAGTGTCTCAACTCACTTTGACGCCGATTGAAGGTACAAAATAATACATTTGCAGGTACAATTATTGCATTATTAACTATAAGTCTAATTTTTTAACAAGAAATTGCTATCTTACGTCTGCTTGAGTTTTCCGTTAGCTCTCCTTTCATAAACTTTTAAACCACTACTCCCTACTGCAACCAAAACTTTCTGGTGCCCAGTCTTTGCCTTAAAAATTTCGGCATCATACAGTTCCTCTTTAGACATGACATTCAGAAATGTATCTCTTGCAGCTGACGACTCCATTCCTTCTAATTTTCTATGGGCTTCAGCCACTTGTTTTTCCACCTCCCTGTTAGTCCAGGATGGATTGAGAAGCTGGGAGTAATTTGCAGACGTCTTCCTGTATACTGTATAATCTCCATATTCGACCTGAGCCGAAAGAGCGCCAAGTTGAACAGATTTCTCTTTTGTTAGGTTGAACTTTCCTTCAGAAATTTGTTTTCTGAGGCACAAATAAAACTGACGCCTACAAAGAGCAAAGCAAGGAAAGTTCGATCACTGCATGCTCGACACTTCAAAGTATTTGATTACACTGATAAGCTTTAATACCATCTTTCTTAGGTAACCTATTATTATTATAAATCAGAAGCTAACAGAATTGTATACCTTGTTTCCTCTTGTTGAAGTTCTTGTGGAGCAACGAAAAATTTAACCTCCAGTCGAAGGCGATGTGGTTTCCCAGGCAGATGCGGACGAAGCTGAGTGGAAACAGGGTTTCTCAAATTTAACCACACACTGTTGTCATTGGCAATATATCGAAGACCGAAATAGTTTTTCTCTTTGATTCCTAGCTTCTCACAAGCCTACGGAAAACAGAATAAACTAACAGTGAAATTGCACATGGCCGTAATCAAAGAAAACATCGGGCCATATTAGCAAACTTCAGCTTGTTCAGATCATCAATGCTTTTACCTTGTCAAGAACGTCTTGTCCGAGTTTGTCGCCGGTTAGAACAAATTCGTTGCCTCTGCCATCGGGTTCCAGGATTACAAACCTCATATTTCCCCTATCAAACAGAGTAATTTCGAAAGAAACGGAAAAATCTAAAATGCAACAACTGTCTATTTCAGGTCTGCAAGAAAAATTTTTTTCAAGTACACAACAAAAACATGTTTGAGAGCTGTTTGGACCGGCTCAGCCAATCAGCGGACAGGAAACCTAAGGGGGGGCTACCAAGCAGCAAAACTTGCTGGACCGGATATCACCTTCCAGTTTCAACCGGAAATATTGAGCAAAAACCCATGTAACGCAATCATCACGCAATAAGATCACTTAAAAAACCAAGCACATCTATACGGCGTTGCCTCTGTTTTTACCAATGAATGTGCATTTTGTCATAAATTACAAGTATTTGCCAACAGATTGTAAATTTAATCGGTGACTGCTATGATGACATTTCGTACATACACATGCACCGGAAGTCACACATTACCTTGAAAATTTGAGTAAATTGTGAGCATAATGCTGCGAGTAGATGCTGCCAGTAAATCATTATTTGAAAAACGATCAACTGACACACATGTTTCGCATGTTGCAAACCCTTTCAGTGGGTCGATTAATAGTTTGGGATAAAGGACTACAAGGGGGTATCACGTGTTCTTTGTGCTTTGGGTCTTTATTGGCCAATTTTAATACGGTCATAGGGAAATATTTTGAAACTGCTTGCGCGTGTCACAATGTGAAACAAAGCGTAACTAAAATGACGCAATTATTAAAGAGGGTTACGATATAAAATATGTTTAATATATGATGACACCGTGCTAACATAGGCCGCTTTCCATTTAGGAAAAAAAAACCCGGAAATTTCGGTGGGAGCAAAAGTGGAATTTCCGATTGGTAAAAAGTTGTTCCATTTGGTCGTAAACCCCGGTACGTAGCGGTGCCCGACCGTGGACCTGGAACTGGTACAAACTACGAGAAACGTAAATGGCACACGACATTCCGTTCGGAAATTCCAACCGGGAAAACGGGACAACCTTTTTAGATTTTCCACTTTTTCTGGGAATTTTCCAGTGGGACGAACCGACGAAACGTGTTCCATTTACGCCCGAACCAGAAATTCCGGAAATTTTGACTAAATGGAAAGCGCCCATAGTGACAAGTCACCCCAGAAAACCATAGAAAACCGCAAAGATTAGCATATGCTGCGAGCGCCATAGTAGAAACGCGGGTGAATAAATGAAATAAAGAATGCTGATTGAAACAAAAAAGATTCAACAAGGAACTCGACGAAAACAAAGAATCGGATGTTAGAATTGCCAGATACAGAATAATCAAATACCTGAGGCTTCGATTGTATTTTTTCCGCGCGTAAAGGAGCGCTCTGAACGACGACGTCCTCCCAAAGTCATTGAAAACACGTTTTTAGGCTCTTCAGAGTACTTTTAGATCTCTAGAAATGTATGTTTAAGCTATAAAATTTGTATCTGTTCCATCACCTAAGACACTTGAGTCTTTTCGAAACTACAGGGGCTTCAGCCAGTATTTTCCCGAAAATTTTAGATGCAATTTAACATTTCACGAAAGTGAAAATTGTTGTGATTCCTTTCTCAAACACATTTTTGCATCCGAAAATGTTAGGTTTGCGTTTGCTACGAAAAATTGCCTAACCAGGGGAGTGAAAAGTGAAAAGTTGAACTTTAGACAATCGTAAGAAATTCATCAGATACGCCTCAAAAATTGTACATGAATGGAACGGTCATCTAGAACAAATCGCGCAACGTTCCACCAAATTATTGTAACTGGAACATCTTAATGTTACCCTGCACGACCTGCATCATTCAGTTAGTCCAGCAAACTGCCGATTTAGGGGATTAACGAATTCGAAATTATTATGTACAAGATGTACAACACCGACCCACCCACTCTTAAGTGAAGTACACTAATTAGGCCCCGGTTAAATGATGAAAACCTGTTCGGGCACGGTGGGACTGTCGTACAGGGTGGATCCAGGGAAGAGGCCCGGAGGGCCCGCCCCCTCTTATTTTTAGACCAAACTGAGGCCCGAAGGGCCGAAAAAAATTTGTTTTGAGACCGCCCCACCCCCCCCCCGCCCCCCTTTATCTAAAGATCTGGATCCGCCATTGAGGTATACAAGGCTCGATCCTCTCACCTGAGTAAAATTTAGCGAGCGTTTACACAAGATAACATGAGATAAGAAGTTTATTTTTTAGCACGATAAAAAGATCAACAAAAACCAAAAAGGGCTCTCCTATGCTCTGATTGTTTCGTCTTGACCGAGTTGACTCGGCTGGGCGAGCCAAAGTGCTTTTATAAAGAAAAAGTGACAGGGTTAGAAGGGTCACTCCTCTGGCCGAGCCAACTTGTTGTTTCGTACTGTAAACGCGAACTTTTCGACAAGTGATAAGCTATAGAGGTTTTACTTGACCATGGCGTGGTGATGGAGTCGTTCTCAGAAGGACAATAGGATTTATTTTTAAGTGATAGACTTACAGTTTCCTTAACTGAGTTTCTTATTGCCTGACAGTTTCTCTGTCCTGTCACTTTTCTTCTCAGTATCTCTCTCAGTTCCTTGTCTGCTTTTTATCCTTTAGTTCTCACTATTCGTGTTCTTCTTCCTCCGATTAATCACAGACTTTTGCCCTCAGTTTTAACTTATCTTTTTATAGATTTTACTCATTAACGTTCAATTAACACTAAAGATAGAAATTAATTAAACTAAAGGTCAAAGTTGGGGACAAGATGTCCGAGCATTAAAGCTGATTCAGCTGATTCCAAAAGAGATAACTGTTAATATATTAAAACATCAGGAGTCCATCTTTCATCGTAATAAAAATTAGTTAACTAGAAGATGATTAATCCCTATCAGGTTGCACCTACATAAAATCACAATTTCTAGAAGCTAAAAGATTATTCAATGGAAAGAGCGCATTTACTTCTGTAACACGTATGTAAACGGTTCGCCACATTTTGCAAAGGAAATATATGAAAAACTGGCTCACCCAGGAAAAACTAGCTCACCCAGGTTAGCTCAGGTAGGCTGGTGAACCTTCTACTGGAGACAACCTTTCTCCATATAAAGGGAACCTAATACTATACTTGAACTAGTACTATACATGAAGATATTACACTATAATATTAACTTATTACAATACTTGTTACAAACTTGGCTTAATCATTAGTGATCGTTACAGAACGCCGAACCGATCGACCGTCAGTTCGCTCAAGATTGCTAGGGGGTGATTGCAAACGTTTGTCGCTAGGCGTAGCTTCATGCTATTCTGATTGCATTGCAACAGTGTTTTCTTTTCTTGAAGCTGTTTCTCTAACATATTCATTTTGTAAACCTGATAAAAAGACATAAAAAGAGTTAGCTCACTGACGCTTGTGTGAGCTCAGGAGATATTTCACTACCTTTTTTACAACCCCAAAGTTTTTTGAACTCTTTTCGATATTCCTTATTAGTGATCCAATAAATCAAAGGGTTCATGCACGAATTAAAAAGCGCTAGAACGTTAAATCCTTTATGCAATGGGCTACCAAGCTTCGTAATTCCAAAAGGATAGAGAATGTAAAAGGTTTGAGTGGGAAAGCCGCAAACAGTTAGGGCAATGGCCGTTAAAGCGCACATGCGCAATAACGCTCTCTGTCGCCTCTTTTTATTGACGCTTTCGTTATTGTTCCCGGGGGATGATGGAAAATGCAGTGTGATGTGGCAAAACGTTAGCCATGTTACAAAACAAGGAATGTAAAACGCGGCAAAACTGTAGGCGACGACAAAAGCTCTTGTGCCATAAATTCCGTAGGGAGCTTTTTTGGAAGCGCATATGTTGCCAGCTAGGCTGTTTTCAAAGAACTTATTCATTGAAAGAATACAAGTTGTAATGAACGACACGAAAACGTAAATAATGATACGCTTTCTGCTAAACTGCTGCCTGTATTGAGTAGGCTTTAGCACGCAGTACCAACGCTCAATGGCAAGACAGGCTACGAGAAGAATGGATACTTTGCCCATTCCAAACAGCAGATATCTGTTATCTAGCAGACGACAGAAAATATCCCCTCCTATTCCGCCGGGGACTGGGTAAGAGGACTTAGAAATGACGTATCCTGGAGTAGCAACCAGAAAAATACCTAAAAGGAAAAAAGAAACCAGAACAAAATGCATTTAATCATAGTTTACTTAGTAGAGGAGGCTGGTTATGAAAGGCGGCATTGATCAAAGATAAAAACAACAATAGTACAATTGCACGATGACGTCATGTTACTACAACTACCAGAATCCTTGAGTTTGTTGTTTTCTTATGCAAATTAAGGCCATTGTTCTTTAATCCTCAGCGGGATTGACAATTTAAATAACAAAGCAAAACCGAAAAATGAATTGGTTTGGTTTTGGTTTTGGTAAGCCCTTTGTTGGTCAAATATCGTCTTTGGTTTTGGTTTTGCAATTGTGAAAACCGCTCTTAATGCAAAGTCGTCATCGTGCAATTGTCCTATTCATGCTGCAATTTATGTTGGAAGTTCTCTGACGGTCCACAATCCTTTGTTTTTTGTTGAAAAATTGTAACTGAATAGATTAATGCAAAGGAAAGCTATTAAACGTTGTGCACCGTCACGTCCTCAAAGGAGTCTGATGGCTTTACAACCATTTCAATCACAGTATTAACTATATCAGGGGTGCCCAGCGAGAATATAGTTCAAAACCACTTAAACATATATAGCATTGTTAAACGTATTTTAATATTTAAACGGTAGATATAGGCATATTTTTATCCCCTAAAAAGTTTTCATCTGTTCGGATTTCCTAGCTGAAAGTCTAGTGACCCTAAAATGATAGGGATCAAAACTTACCTTTTCGAGAATTTCAGCCAGAAAAAGGCTCCCGAAAATTCTAGGTGACCTTTTTAGTGTAAAATATCCGTTAAAAACGGGCAATTATACAATTTTTTAGACGTTCGAAAATCCTACAAGAAGCAGGCAAGCAAAAATTTTACAAAAAAATGTTCCGAAAATGCTAGATCTCAAATCGTCTTCCGAACAGATTTTTTCTTAAAATTGACGTTGGGTGTCCCTGCCATATATGATGAAATGAAACGAAGTGTGTGAAAAGAATTGTGCAATAAATTAAACTTTACCTCAAAGACTAATTGCAATTCTTTTGAGGTCACCCCAATTATAAGGACTGCCTACATCACCAAGAAAACTGAGACGGCACATTTGTGCCTAAGTCCCTTTTGCCTATGAGTGGTTAGTTATCCCTGGGTGATGGGAACTGACGGAACTCACCGGTAAGCATATCAACCACTGCTAGGCTAAACAGAAGAATATTGTGTCCTTTCTTCAACAAGGAAGGCCTTTTCAAAAGCAGGACGCAGAACAACAAATTGAATAGGAAAGACGCCGCGGCGATAACGCCAAACAACACTTGAAGAGCCATGTCAACGTTGCTATTAGGCGATGGCGGGTTTGAAATTCCTGTCGTGGGTAGGATCGTAGTGTTGTTCATGGCTGCAAGTTGATCAGAATTTTATGAGAATTGTCCCTAGCTTTTAGAGCATTTTAAGGTCTGTAATAGTAAGTGAAAAAAACAACAGTTGGTAGGCCACTACTATATCTGAGCAAGAGCCTTGATCTGACAAAAGTCATAATATTACCGTCCACCAACTCAGTTTTGGAATCAAAATTGTACCTGCCAACATTGCGCTTCGAGAGCTGATACCACCTAAAGATTTTGTATCAATAAATTACAGTATTCACATTTACATTTTAAAAGTTTTTGCCAAGAGTATATCTGATAATATTGCCGTCCACAGATTCAATTTTGGAATCAAAATTGTACTTCGATCATAGCGCTTCGTGAGCTGTTACCATCTAAACGTAATCTAATTGTAACAATAAATTACAATATTTACATTTGGTGGAACATCTTTAAGTTTCCGCTACGAGTATATCTGGAAAAAGACTTATAATATTGCGGTCCACAGACTCAGTTTTGGAATCAAAACTGCACTGCGAGCATAGCGCGTAGTGAACTTTTTCTACCTAAAGGAAATCTAATTGTATCGGTGAATTACAATATTTACATTTGGTAAAACTAATCTTAAAGTTTCCGTCACAGAGAATGTAAATACTTTTCATTCTGGTGTAAAAATAAATATAAACGCAGGTGAGATACATTTCTTGATAGACGTGTAATGTAGAGTCAGATTCTTCTTGGTTTAAAGCTTGTTGTTGTTGATGGTTCTCGACGTTCTCGAACTTTGTCAACTAACCTTTTTTTAATACATTTGCCCTTAACTTCCAAAGATTGCTTGGTGCCCTTGAATTTGGTTGGGGAACGTTTCGGGGGGGGGGGGGGGGGTTTGACGCGTGCCCACATAGCATCATCGCGTCAAAGTTGGTGCACCCAAATATGTCTCTAAGTTAGAATATGCAAGTATTTTCCACTGTTTGGTACATAAGTATAGATGCTATTTTCTGGTCTTCGTAAACAATTGCCCTATCCTTGTAATCTCTGCGTTTTTTGGCGCTTACAACGTATACGAGCGCGTGATATTCAACACATCACAATGTTGAACAAAGATATTGTATATCAATTAGAAAAACACACAAATCCGGGTGACTTATTTGAACACATTTATTTATTCAAACCTTCAAGATATCCGGCACCGCTAATAGTTTTGCTTTTTTTAATTTTACATCCCTTAGATGTTTACTTATAGATATTTTATGATCCAGCAAAGCCAGGTTTTGATTTTAACCCTTCTCCAACACCAGCCTGCTGTTAGAGTTCTGTGGTCTTGAATCATCAAGCGTATTCAGGAGGTATGGGCACTTAACAAGATTTGGCTTTAGAAGATTTTTTGGCATATTTAAGGTATAGTCGAGTTTCAGTCAAATATATAGCGCCGGTATTGCATAAGAGAGGCCTCGGAAAAGCTTTGTAATAGGATTTGAAGGTAATAACAACGACTACAGCTAAAAATTGTGTCGTCCCAGAAAACGACAGATGTGCCGATCATCCATTCTATAGCCCCGTGAAAATGGACGCAACATTGTTGAATGTTACATTTTGCGTCCGTTTGCACACCCTGTTGCATGTTGTTGCGTGCTATTGGGAGTAGTTGTGAAAAGTTTGAAACCGGTAAAACTTTTAGCCACAACATACGCAACAACTCCCAACATTTTTTGCACGAAGCTTATTACTCAACGATTACTCAATGTTGTTTCGTAAAAATTATACTCAGTTTGCATTCATTCATGAATGACCCATTGTTAATAACATGGGGCCGTAGAGCCAACTCATGATTTCGCCTTCAGGGGGGGAACGTTTGTTAAAATGAAGAAAACGAAAAAATGAAAACATTTCCTGACTACAGAGTTTCTCATCAAGCAATTATGGCACTCTATTGCGTAAGGATCGAGTAAACAGGCCGCAAACTTTTCATTACCAGATAATCCTGTCAAGAATTCATAATTTGTTTGCTGTAACATTAGTATCAAGGAATTGATTACTGAAAAAGGACAGACAAATTTTTGAAAATTCAACTGTTCAGTATAGAGATTAGAAGATCATAAAGGTGAGTCTGAGTAAGTACGAGAAGAGTTTTAAGTGAATTGTGTGACGAATTGGCAGCATTATTGACCAACCCTGAACAGAGAGCTCCCCATAGAGGTTTTTTGTCATCCGGGATTTGCCTTATTTGAAGGCCGGGATCCAGGATTTTAAAACAAAATGAGGGTGAGATTCGGCATTGAGAATTGCGAATTGATTCGGAATGCGGGATACCGAAAATAGCCTAGGAAATGGTCGAGGTTTCAATTGGCATGAATTTTTGCGAAAGTTGCTTTCTGCATGTCTTTCTTCAAAGGTTATTGATAACCATGGTCTTTTCAGTGAAGACTTATACAAGTTTTTTAGGTGAATTTTTTTTCCAGTACAGCCTATTTCTCGAAGTAGTGGGGGGGATCAATATAATTACAATGCAATTTGAAAATAAAAGCAGTTACAGAAAAGCGCAACATAATTGTGAAAACATAAAAATTTAAAACAATTGCCTTCTCTCAGAAGAGAGCTGAATACGAATATAATGCACACTGCACGACATTTCTACAAGAGTACGGTAGCTGCCTTGCAATATGAGACCATTTTTGATCAAGTCTGACCGGCCTGAGCAGTGTAAATATAGCGGAAGGTTGAAGCTCATTTCTGTATTCTATTTTTTCGTTCTTACAAACACGGCAGCTTAATCTTGTATAAATCTTTTGACAAAAAATGATTCGTGGAAACTTTACCGGTCCGATTGAGCTCCTAGTTTCGGTGCGTGCCGCGCATTAATACTGTGCTTATCGTTCACGCCGTCGTATTAAGGCGCCAGCTGGCACAGAAAAAAAACTATTGTTACATGGACTCTGACTTCAGGGTTTTGTAGAATATTTCAGATCACAGGATATTATAATTACTGCAAATGTACAAGTAAAACAACATACCTTGTCGATGTTTTTTTCGTTTTAATCTTGTTCGACTTAGTTTGAATTCTCAGGGTGTTTATGGCGCACCTGAAACAAGCCAAATCAAACTGTTTGTTCTTAACGCCTTCAAGAACCCGAATGAAAGAAGATAAATCATGTCTCGTATAAAGGACAACAACGGGAAATGAGAGAGTCAACTGAAGGATTAAATATGTTAATAACCTTAATATAATACGGATAATACCATGTAATGAATAAAGACACTCTCTACAAGCAAGATCACTCAACAAAAGCAAAAACAAGAGTAAAGTCAATGGCAATCTAGGAATATATCACTGTTGATCCACATGCAAAAAAAACATAGGAAACAATTTATAAATTAGTTTAAGAGCGCCCTCTCAAGGTTTTTGATCATTACTCGCGCGAATTCAAGAAAATGTTTATGGCGTAAAAAATTCATAAATCCTGTGTAATTCGAATTACATCTTGTAAGAATCTTGGCCCTAATGCGCGATTAAGCTTTTCGCAGAGATTCAGACTAATTCCGTTCTTACGAACCGCTGATAGATAATTGTTTTTGGCTGTGATTCCATTGTCAGACAAAGTTTTCAGTTTCTAATTGAGTCGATAAATACAAACACCTTAAGCCAGTATAGTTATAATTATAAAACTCTGAGTAGCAACCGATCATTGCAACTGATCCTGATTTAAAAAGCATTAGGATCAATTATCTGTTAGACTCAGTAGACTCTTAGAATAAAATCATTTTGATTAACTGCAGCAGATTATTTTAGTTTTAATGATGGCATTACAAATAAGTTAAAGCCATCAAACGACTACATATAAAGACATAAAAAAAGAGAGCTATAGTAATTGCACATAAAATGGATTTGTCACGTCAAATGACTCAGGATTTCTTGTATGTAAATAGATCAATTGGTCACAAATGTAAAATTTGTGTCAGCAGCAATCTGACATAAAAAAAAAAGATGATTGAAACCCCGAAGAACTCAGGCTTTATCGACGTTTGAGCCACTTACCGCCTTACAATGACCGGACGCAAAGCTCTATCTTTTTTTCATCAAGAACTTTATTGCAATGTTTACCAAGTACTTTATACATTCATTAAAAATGAAAGGCGCACCTTCAATGAGATCCCGGATGTGCCTACGAAGCAGTCCTAATACGATGTATATCTCAAAAGGACAATACTTGCTAACATGCAATTAAAGTATCTTAACTTATGGTGTCTTCATGTATCGGGTGCTACAAAAGTTGTCTCATTATAACATTGTATCGTTTAATCTAGTCTTTCACTGTAAAAAATGACTCAGTAGTTAAAATAACTTATCAAAATTTTTGCAATATGCGACGGTCTGAGGCAACCCACATTTTATTGGTTAATACAACCACTTTCAATCAGTAAGAACGACCTTTTTTTTCTGGTTCAAAATAACAGAAAATTTGTCAGTTGTATTCACCATAGGGTAGGTTATATCAACTGTTATGTTTAATTTCATCAAATGTAAATATAGCGATCACAATATTGATAGGTGTTAATTTGAGCATCTATTTAGGTTTTACATGCGTCTACTTCTAGAGGAATCACTGACGCCCCACAACCTTCTTTCAAAAGCATAATGAACTTTATTATAATTAAATGTCCTCAACTTCTGCTTTCTTTAAGGGCAAATATGTGACGATCCATGGCAGTGAGAACAAAACAGGAGTTGTGGTGTACCCAAAATTTCAGAGACAATATATTACTTATGAACTGTTTTTATGCCATCTAATAACGTAAGCTGGCAGTCATAAAGCAACTCAAGTACTCTTTTGCCAATTTTGTAATGGTTGCACAACATAACTAAATAGTAAGGACCCCATCCAACAAGACCAAACGCAGTTAAAGTAACCAATCACAATAGTTTAGAAATTTATAGTCAAGGATTAAAAAACAAAGATTTATTATCCACATTTGGTTAACCGAGCATTGTCGTTTGTTAAGATTTTCTTCCCCACCCAATGTTCTGATTT